TCTCCCCTGTCTCTCCCCTCTCTCTCCCCTCTCTCCTTCCTCTCTCCCCCCCTCTCCCCCTCCACTCTCTCCCCTCTCTCCCCTCTCTCCCCATTCTCCCTCTCTCCCTCTCTATCACCCTCCCTCTTTCCCTCCCACTCCCTCTTTCCCTCCCACTCCCTCTTTCCCTCCCACTCTCTCTTCCTTCCCTCTCTCCATCCCCCCTCTCTCTTTCCTTCCCCCTCTCCCTTCCTCTCTCCCTCCATTTTATTTTTTAGATTCTGTAGAAATGCTTAGACTTATTTCAAAATTTTAATAATCCTGAAATATGAAATTAACGTTTTTGTGAACATATTTTGAATCTTGCGAATAATTTTTTTGCTCTTCTCAAGATATGAACTACATGTTATTGCTCCGCTATGGAAGTATATGTACTTGTTTCTATTTTGTTGTATGAAATATTTTCCAACCCACACTGACCTTTTATCTCACACTGCTCACAACAGAGTCCCGAGTAACTAAATTTATCCGGCCCCTTTAGAAACAAGCAGGCTTTGTATAGATGTTTATTGGGCTGAAAAAAGACCATTAAATTTGAGAACCTAATTTGGCCCTACATAAGGTTTGGAGATCCGGCTTTTAGTTATTTGTTGCCCGCCATACTTCCTGGGGGGAATTACCGGCTTAAGTCCCTTTCTGAAAGAAATTGCATCTCTGGCCATCAAACGGTATTTGTACTTCTATAGTGGAAAAGCCCCGTCACTGTGTTTCTTCGTTCTCGCGGAGTTTACTCATATAAGTCCAGTTTAATTAAGTTTTACGTTCTGATAATGTACGGTGTAATGGTTTTGGTTGCGTTCAGTTGCGTATAGGGTGATTACAAAATAGCTACCGTAAAATTGGAGAACTGCTTTCGAAATATGCAAACACATTTCTTTAGTAAGTGAGATGTTTTTGTATGTTTGTTAAATATATTATTCTAGTGATAGTTGACTATTTTGTATACTTTATTTTTGCTATTTCGAGAGAACTTGAAGTTCTGGTAGGTTTAAGTACCTACTTTTTTGAAATTTGCCCTCGAATATTATTTTCCGAAAGAATTATGTAGGGAGGTCTGAAAATTATTTTGATTAATTACCTGCTTGATTGGTTTAGCTCGAATTTCGAAAATTGGAAAGTATGATGAAACTTTTCGCGCCTTTCTGTGCTGTTGGCAGTGGCTGGGCGATGGAGGGCATGCGGCCTCAGCATCGTCTGCTACGAATGTAAATTTTAAAAGCAATCGGGGCTTCGAAAATGTTGGAAACATGCGCAAAATTCCATTTTCGCGCGCTACGCCTTCTAAAATGCGTCCTACGTCTTGCGACTTTTATCGAGGATTATCGAATTCTTTTCGAAGCATGGATGAATTTCGAACGGATATACAGAGTGCTCCACCTAAGAGGGATTCTTCTGTAACTCTGCAACTGTAAAATTTATATAAAAAAAATGGTTTTAATAAAAGTTGCCTGGAATCATATGGGCCGATAACTCAATAAAAATTTGTACACAGATTTTAAATCCTAAGTAATTAGGACTGATTTAACTACTATTTTTTAATTATCCAGATTTAACATGATTTAATTGAGAAATAAAGATTTAAAAACTTATTAAATTTGATTTAAGTAGATTTTCTTAGATTTAAGGAAATTTAGTTAGATTTAAGATACTGGATGGTGATTTATATTGATTTAAAAGTGATTTCAAGCGAATTAATTGGATGTGACTTAATGATTTATTTAATTCTGGACCAGAAATTTAATACAGATCAATATTATTGAATTTTTTTGCCTCAGTTTTTGTTATAGTTAAAATGATTTTACTAATGTGAATTACCAAAGTGGAAGCAAACTTCTAATTATCAATGTTTTTTTTTTTGGTTATTTGCTTACTTACTATAAGCGTGAAAATAAGTTACAAAAATAAAACAATTTTTAACATGTTATATTTCTATCATATCTCTTAATTGTAAAAGGTTCGTTTCTACATAAGAGAATGGGTCCATAAAACATAAAAATTTTCTCTACCTCCTGAACGTCTTCCTTTTTTGGCCATACTTATATAATTTTCTAAATCTTGTTTCAAAAATTTTATTCTTATTTTGTCTCCTAATTCTACAGGGTGTTTGGAAAGGTTTGTACAAAATGTAAGGGGGTGAAAGTAGAGCCAAAAATAGTAAAAAAAAGTTCCTATAAACATTGGTCCTCCGGAGCACCGTTATTGAGATATGGCTCTCCGGGTCTTATCATTTGGATATTTTTTAAAATAACTTTCTTCCTGATAAGATAACGGAATCAAAATTGTAGGTAATAATAATTATACCATAAGTGTCTTTAACTGCCATAAGTTTCATCAAAATCGATTATAAATAAGGATAGTTTTGTAACTACTCTTAACAGAAATTTTTCGAATTTTTTTTATTCCTTTGAATTAGCAAATAATATTATTTTTTAATGAATTGGACTTTTTTGAAGAAAAAATTTCCCTTCTTTTTTTTCCGAATCCTGCGTAGTTTAGTCAGAAATACTTATTTTTTAAATAATCAAAACACTAACTTTTTTTAACATTTTCACATAGTAGGCGTCTTTTATAGTGACAGTTTCTTTGTAATGGTATTAATGATTGGCACTTTCGCGTGCTATGATTTAAATTCTTAGGTTTCTTTATTTTCTTGGTTGTGATCTTTGTGCTCAACTTTGCATTTCATTCGATTTTTTTACAACCATGAACCATCATGCTTTTACTAACCGTGAATATGCCGATATGCATTTGATTTATGATTTTGTAATGGAAATAGTCTGAAGGCTCAAAGAGAGTATCGGCATCACGGTTAGTAAAAACATGGTTGTGAAAAAAGTGAACTTATTTTTTAAATCGTACCGTTTCGGAGATAGATGGCGTTAAGGTAGGAATTTTTTTCCCGTTTTTCCCTAATAACTTTTGAACTTAATAATACGTTTAATGATGATTTTCACAAACGTCAGTTTATACAAATCACTGGGAGTTTTGTTTTGCATGGGTTGCTATAACGTTAAATGAAATTTACGTGGCTGGGGCGCTACCTCAGGCGCT